GCATCGATGGCGTGACACCAGAGATCGATGAAACAACAGCTGTTCAAGGTATTCAAGGTAAGGTGTCAATAACAGACTCAGGTCGAAAATTGACCGCAAAACGGCTGGATTAAGCTAACCTTCATAGCTGACACTTGGCTGCTCAGGGGAGTGAAGTCTGAAGAAAATTAGGTACCAATCCATGCTCATATCATCGTAACACAGATATTCCCTCTTCCCCCAACAAACAAAAGAATTACAGATAATTTGGCCGGGAAAACGATCGAACGCAAAAAAACACCGCGCAGTGTAAAGGAGCTTTCTTTGGCTTATCTCATCCAAGCCCAGGATTCATGTAATCCAGAAGTTAATTATTTCCCCCTCCTCGTCCCCATCAAATTTTCCTGCTGCTTAGAGAAATAACACTGATGATCGGCAAATGCTGATCCTCTTCAAAGCCCTTTGTAATGACATCTAACAGAACCAATGAAGCAGAAAAGACAGGCAAAAAAAAAAAAAAAGAAAAAACCAAACACCGAAACAGAGGAATGGATAATTTTTACATTTTGAAAATCCAATGTGTCAGTTTTTGCAAAAAATTCAGCTTTCGGGAAATGTTGCTGGGATAAAGTAATGCCACAAAACTCGTTTTTTGAGGATCGTTTTGTTTAACTACAGACTTTTAGCCTATCCAATTTTACCTGAGTTCCCAGCCAAGCAACCGATGTAACCATAATTTTTCTATTTTTAACCATTTTGTTTGCCCTTCACCTGTTCTTTGTAAATAAACCAGAACTCATTTTAAGTTTACGAGCCGTCCTACACACATACACACATACATACATACACAGAGACGCATGAATGCATGTAGTACAAACGAATATTGTTGAAAATTTGTCAGAAAAATCCATTTTTCCCTCATCTGTAGCATCCAATTCATCTTCGCCCTATGCTCCCTTTTTTCGGCTGGCGACACGTTTTATGGATGTTGATCACCGTTGTGTTCTGTGTATTTTCGATTTCCGTACAACAACGCAACAAACGATTCAACGAATCACGTCGTCGTTTACGCTCTCGTGTTTTAACAATCACTTTTAGTCGACCATCATTTCTGCAAATACCAATTTATGCCACAAAATCAACAAACCCCACCTCCTAGCAAATGTCTTTCCTCAGTGTGATAGCAATGTCCTCCTCTTCCTGAAATGAATAATTCCTAAATTGAAGGGCATATCAGTACAGTAGACACTGAGGATTGTCGCTTCCGAAGTACTGGAAAAATTTGGAATGCTACTAAAATGCTAATGAAAATAATCAAATTGAGAGCGTTAAAAGGTTGGAGCAAGACGGGATAAAGACACACCTTATGGCTGCATGTGTAATTTGGTCGAAGTGTAGGCCAACAAAGAAAAAAAAACAGTCGAATTTTAATATTTAGTGAAACCCAAAAGAGCCATTTAGCTATCTCACGTGAGCAAACCGGTATTTAAATTAGGTACCGCCTGTGTTTCATCCCTAAACTGTAAACACAGATGACTGAATCGCTGCGAAATGGGGTAGGAATCACCAGTCCGAAATTGCTTTAAAAAAAGCAAAAAAATTTAGGTGCCCAAATTGTGTGCCAATGTAAAATGATAATCACAGCCTGCAATTAAGTACCTCTAGTAGAGTAATGCAGCAACATATTATCAATTTAGCTTATGAAGTTCATTTAAATGCCAAAATTTTTCCAACAAAAATTCGAAATTCATTGAAATGTTAAACCTTTTTCAATAAAAAATCCGCACCAATACTAACAATTTCTGTCCCTTTCACCTATTATGAGCCTAAAAATGAAGCGGAAAAGCCCCGTTTAGCAGTCCAAATCTAAATAACTCACGTCAAATTCACTAAGAACGGTAAAGTAGGTCACACTTTGCACGGTAAAATACATCAGTACTCACTACGCACATCCCCTTACCCCTTTTTCCGAACCCTCCCACCCCCTCCTCCCCCCCTCACCCCCGGTATCATTACAGAGCAAGAGGGCATATTAAAAAAGGCAATTCATTCTATTCCTAGCTTTAACCTGAAAATGATAAGAAACAACATAATGACGGCAATCTCTACTATACCATACTACCACAGTTGCTCAATACAATAGATTTCTCTCAAAAATCAGGCAAAATATGCATGAAAATATTCACAAAGCATACCCAAGCGAAACGTTTGAATTGTGAAAATGCGAATGCGCCGCTACAGCTAAATGGGTGGTATCCACCGTCACACAGTCATGCAATTCCAAATCGCTCAGATTCGGACAACTCTGAAAAAAATGAAAAATATTTAGCAATATTAGCGTCAAAAGTTACAGCTTACTGTTAATCTTCGAGAAAAAATTGATCCTGGAAGAATGCTATTACACTTATGAACAAAAAAAAAACCGGCTTTCAACTGAGTTTTTTTTCCTTTTACCAAGTGTATCAA